GCTAACACGGAGTATCATCGATTTCAATCATCGATTCATCGTGTGGGGGGGGGCTGGGGGGGGGAAGGGGGGGGGGGGGGGGCTTGCCTTCGATTCGAGGGGTCGGCAAGGGTTTTCCCCCGGGCCCTCCTCCCGCGCTTCGCTTCGCTCAACAAAACTTGGAGGTTGGAGCACTTGGAGTGCGGTCATCAAACCTCATATCCAGGGCCGGGGAGCTAAGAAGCGCACCCAGCGGGCCGGATGATCGATATCGGGTTGCGGGCAAGAGAGCCCTAGCCCTTGCCCCTGGGGGCTGCGCGCGGTCGCAGAGAAAAGGAGAGAGCGTCTCTGCGCACCCCGGGCCAACTTTGCTGATCGCCGTCCCCGTCTGCGCTCGCGCTACTCTGAGGAACCATCTGGCCTGCTCCCTATTCCCCAGGCAGGCGCCGCTAAGCAAGTGCGCCATTGTCGCCCTAGGCGGGTTCTCATCTTCCTCGGTCCATTGCTGCGCGGCATTCCGCGCGACTGGACACAGCGGGTCTCGCTTTAGTGCCGCCCTCCTCGCCGCGTCCCTCGCGGCCTTACAGACGAGGCAGCCCCTGAGTTCGCTCCTCGTGGCGGCGCCCGGGGTCTCTTTCCCCGCCTCTCCCCGCATGATCCTCTCGTGGTGCGCTCCGTGTGGCACCCCCGCCTGCTGCCGCACCCGCGCTCCCATGACGGTCTTTGTCACCACGTTATGATCATCCACATCGGCGAATTCAATCTCGCGCTCGCCGTGTTGATCCTTGATCCGCTGGCGCTTGTCCCATTTGTGTCTCGTCGTTCCCCTGACCACATCGCTCCACAGCGGCCCCGTCACCCCTGCCGTGTGCGATCCCGCCGTGAGTCCCTCGCCGAGCCGTCCTCGCACCCACTCGTTCGTGTGGCCGCGCGTGGCGTAATAGGTCCTCCGGTCCAGTACCTCCCGCCCCCCCTCTCTGTCTGCCGTCCTCCGGCGGTCCGAGTACACACACGGGCGCGTTCTCACTGCTTCACGGATGACGGCGGTGGCATCCTCAATCTCGCTGGCCCCCATGTATGCCGTCGCCGCGGCGTCGGCGTAGGCGTTGCTAGCGCACCCCGCGTGGCTCGGTACCCACAGGAACGTGACGGATTCAAGCTGGGCGCGATATCTGCATATCCCCTCTAACATCTGCATATCCCTCCCACTCCCGGAGCCCCTCGAGAGAGCCTTTTCGGTACGCCGCCTCGATCTGCTGTAGTGCGGGCTTGCAGTCGCTCAAGACGAGGCACCTCCTGTCCGCCGCATCTTCCGCCGTCGCCATCTTGCGCAGGTAAGCCAGCACCGCGTACATTTCCGCGTCTATCACCTGCCAGTCGTCTGGCAGTCTGCCGCCCCACAGCCCCTGCCCAAACGCGAGCCGCAGCTCATCGTCCCCGCCTTCGAGCTGCCCAGATCCCTCGACGGGTCTCCCGAATCGGGCCGGCCCTTCGTACACCCCATACGACACAACTGGTCGAGGCACGAACCTATCCCCCACCCACTTGTTTGGCATGTCTCTCCCTCCATCCGTCGCAGCGAGGTGCGCGAAGGGCCGCGCTCTGTGCAGCGCGAGGCATATCCTGGCCACCTCCGCATTGAGCCTCTTGTACGCCTCGTCATAAAGCGTCCCCACCGCCCCGGGCTCGCCCATCGTGTGCCTATCCCGCGTGAGCATCGGTCCGTCGGCCGGCGTGCACAGCACTCCTAGCTGGCTCCCCGCTCGTAGGATTCGATCCGCCTCGTGTATGTCGTCGCAGCGCATCACCCTCCCTCTCCCCGAGTCGGGTCGGGCCCTTCTCCTGGGGGTCATGAACACGTCTCCGCCACCTGGTGCCCCCTCCCCCTTCCAATTGATGCGTCGCGGTGCCACGCCCGCACCTGCCCCTCCCGCTGCCTCCTCCTCCTCCCCTAGTCTCCGCCTCGCGTCCTCCCAGGTCACCTTGTTATCCTCGGGTATCTCCTCCTCCCACGCCTTACTCGCTTCCAGCCCGGGCGTCCCCTGTACCTTCTCGCCATCCTCCTCTCCCGTCGCCGGCTTGGCCTTACCCCCGAGATAAAGTGTGCGCCGCTGCCAGTCCACCTCTCTAGTGCGCACCCGCCCCTCCTCGAAAGTGTGTTCGGCGAGGTTGGGACCCCCCATGCACACCTCCTTTGCCGCTGCGCTGTACCCCCGGAACGCCTCTAGCACTACCTCCCATCCGTCTTTCCTGGCTCCGTCACACGTGGCCAGGGCGTCGTCGGCTTTCTTTGTTCCAAGGCCTGCGATTCTCTCCCCGCGTCGCGCCTCTGCCTCTAGCCACTCTCTAAAGGTGGCCGCGACGCGTCGCAGCCTCCTGGCCCTTTCCATGTCCGTCCTCATCGCCTCCGTGGCGCCCATCTCATCGTGCCGCACCCACGAGTCCTCCCAATCTCCCTCCCATTTGCACAGGTACTCCCACCCCGTCTCCTCTCCCTCCTCGCCTCCGAAGCACCTGGGCGCCCTCCTCGCCGCTCTAATCGAAGCCACATTCCAGCTACCCGCTCTCCATGCCTCTACCTGGTTCGCATTGTTTTCTCGCGCCAAGCCGGTTATTTCTTCCGTCAAACTTGTCGGATGGGCTAATAAGCAGGAATTAGCATTCGCCGCGGCGCGCTGCCCTCCCGCTCCGCCTGCCCTCCCTTTGCCTTTGCCTGGTGGCCTGCCTCGCGGCCTCCTCTGTGCTGGGCGCTCTCCTCTGCCCCTGCCGCCGAGGACGCGTGTCGTCCACTCGTCCCGCCGCTGCTGTAGCTCGGTCCCACCAAGCTGGCGGCACAGATGGCGATATTCAGCCTCCTCTCGTTGCCCGTTTGCCAGCCCATGCAGGTCTCGGAACTCTGGCCAGGTCATGAACACTCCTGTCGCTGCGTTGGTGATGTCCGCCCATGCTGCCACCCCGCGCCTCGCCAGGCACCGCGCAAAGTCGCACGCACATTGCCCCTCGTATAGCATTGGGCCTCGCTCTGCTCGCTCCTTCTCTGTCACTGCCCATGCACTCGGGCGCAGCGGGCCCTTTGCCCTCTCTCTCCATCCTGCTGTGCTGAGGGTGTCTGCTCCACTCCTCCACTTGGCCTTCAGGTACGCCTCGATGACGAGGTCATCTGAGAGTTCCTTCTCCCAGTCCCAGGGAGGCTTCCACTCGAGAGGGTTGTCGCTCCTGCAACCCAAGCGCTTCAGTGTGTGCGCGAGGCTGCTCTCCACAGCCAGCCTGGCTGGCTCTCCCTCTGTCGCACACAGCGCCCTGTCCACTTGATCCACCAGCGCAGCGACCGCATAGGTGTATGCGTGCTCCATCTCCATCCCTGCCCCCTCCTCTGCGTCGTACATCTGCAGCTTTGGCACTCCCACCGAGAATCTCCTGGCCCTGAGTGCTGAAGCCCTGACCTGTTCTATAGCCTCACAATCTTCCCATGTGATGACTGTCGACCTGCCATAGTATCCAATTATGCCGCTGAGTGCGAGCGCCATGTTGCGCCTCATCTGCTCCACGGTCAGATGCGAGAGGTTCCCGACGAGCCATAGCGCGCGCTTGCAATCTCTCTTGACCCGTTCCCTCATGTCCTTCTGCCACTCGCCGTTTGCCCATCCAGGTCGCAGCTCGGTCCCGAGATACTTGTACGTCTCGTCCCCCACTAGCTGAGGGATTATTGTCCCGTCTGGCATCTTCATCTCGTACCCCGTCACGTCCACTTCCGTCCCCTCCTTCCAGTAGGTCGCGGACCATGCAGACTTCTTCTTCTTCTTCACCTGCAGGCTGTTTCCGCATATTTTGGTGACCAGCCAGGCGCACTCGAGCGCGAGCTGCATCGTGGCTATATCGTTACTCAACAGCAGGCAGTCGTCTGCATACACCAGCTGCGGCACGCTCTCCCCTGCCGCAGTGAACTCAAACCCCTGGCACAATTTGCTCACTGCTCGCTGCATCACCGCGAGCATGAGCTTACTCCGTGTAGGCGAGAGCAGGCAGCCCTGGCCTAGCCCCTGTTCAATGTCAAACCTCGGGCTGAGCCCATAGCCCGTCTCATATCTGCCTGTTAGCCCTGGCAGGTCGCCGAGCCCTTCCCTCAGTGCCTTCAGCACTCTCGTTACGTCTGCTGGCACACCGGCCCACTCCTCCACTCTCCATTGCACCTCATTGACGACGCTCATGAAATACGTGCCTAAGTCTATGTATCCCCTCACACACATCTTCCTTTCTATCATGCACTCCTCCGCATGGAGCCTTGCCGTTAGCGTCTGCGCAGGTGCATTCATCCCCTTGGTGAAGCCGCTCTGCGAGCCCGGCACCGTGTGTGCCGCCGCTCTGTCGTATTCTGGCAGTAGCATGCGCATCAGCCCCTTCATCGATTGCGGTTGCACCCACAGGTCCCGTCTCCTCTCGAGCTCCTTCGGATCCTCCCCGGGCTTCATCGCCATCATAGCAATCCAATCATTCCACACTTTGGGATACTGCTCCTCCCGCACAATCTCCTGCAGCAGCCTCCAGTACTCCCGCTGCACTCCCCTCGGCGAGAGTCGGATCAGGTACCCATCTAGTTTGTCGCTGCCTATGGCCTTTCCTTTTTTGAATTTCCTGATTGCCGCCTCGCACGCCGACCACGTCAACACGTCATCCGCAAGCCGTCCTGTCCCCCCCACCCCCGGGGGCTGGGCCTCCGCCCTGGCTGGTTTTGTCATTGCTAGGAGCGCCTCGACCGCCGCCATGTCCGCCTCCCTCCGCGCGTTGATCTCCTTCCCTCTCCTCGCCGCGGCGTCGCGGACTTCGTCCCCTCGCACCACGTGTCTTTGCCAGACCTGCTCTCCCGTCGTCTGGCAGGTTACCCACTCGCCTCCCTCATACATCGCAACCAGCTCCCCCCCGCCCGCTCTTCTGCCCATCTCCTTGTTCAGAATCTCGAAGACTCTCCT